CACTTAATTTCCACAGTCACTTTAACTTAAACACACGCTATAATTCACAACGATTCACGCATTTTACTTCGGGCACTACCTCGCTTGACTCAATTATTCGTCTCTATCTCTGCCTGTCTGCAATTATCTATGCTGTCACTTCTTCACTCCACTTTATTTGACGGGCTTATATATTAAAATAGAGGGTGCCTAGAAAACGCTCGGGCCTTCATGATCCATCTAGAATCTCATGACGTGTTACTAGAATCACGTGACTTCCGTTGTCGTAACAATATGATAAGGAATGTATGTGATAGGAACAAAAAAGCAGTCCCTCTGGGCTTGTGACAACATCTGTTGTAGTATTTGAGGAATCAGAAGGTAGTATTTAAATAGAAGTAACAGTAAATCCAAAGATGAAATAGGAATCCACTCCTGTTGAGCCACCTTTTCTGAAATGTTGAGTAGATTCTGCCATCTTTCCTATAAGATTTTCCCCTCTGTGTGAATGCTTTACTGTTTTACTTGAAATATGCCACACATATATACACACACAATCTGCAACAGACCCTGTTGATCCTAGGTCAGCCTCATCAGCCATTTTCGAACGCACAAATAAGATCATCATGGAAGACTATCACCCTCGACTGTGAGGGATTGCCAGAGAGAGACACACATACATGTACTTAATGTAACATTAAATTAGCATATAAACTAACAACAAGACTTTTTATTTTAAGCATAATATAAAATAGGTTCTTTCCATATGTATATAAAATTTACAATAAGTACATTTTCAGGTTAACATCAGTATTATTTTGGCCTTAACTATTAATAATAAAATTTTTAAAAATTCATAAACAAAATCCAAAATAACTCAATTAAAGAAATTAAATAAGGAAAAGACAAATAGTGAATTTATAGCTCTAACAACCTGAATAAAATGTGGCTAATCAAAAGAATTTTCAAAAAAATGGAAATATCGAAACATTTTGAGGATAACCAAATTTCAGTTGTAGTAAATGGTATATACAAGTATAACTGCTATGTTAACAGACCGTGAACAAAGAGAACTTTACGAAGCAGCAAAGATCATCCAGAAGGCTTATCGTTCATACAAAGGTCGTAAACGTCAGGAGGAACAAGAAAAAGAAAAGGCAGCAGCAATCCTTATTCAGAGCTATTATCGTAGGTACAAACAGGTAAGAAAATTTGTGTTTTCAACAAATGTGGAATGGAGTGAACCTAGAAGGTTGTTGTTTTATGTCATAAATCAATGATTTTAGAGAAACGTGTTTACTATTGGATAAACAGAGTAAAATATATATGGTTACAATGTTTAAACAGTGTACCTGATGATACCAGGATAACCTGAAGCAACATTGTAACCATACCTATTATATTTTGTTTATCTGATAATAAAAACATTTTTTTAGTTCTACTGCCAGAGTACTTCCTTTAATTACATGGTTTTTTAAACTTCCACAGAAATATGTATTCTTTGTTATGTCTAGCTAGCATTTATATTGAATATAGCCTTCAAGTTATGTACAGTAATACCTCGATATATGAAGTAGATGCTTTGTTCGTGTATTGAAACTTTATATATTGAATAACTTATAACATTATTACTATGAGGATGCATTCCCACCCTTCGTAACTTAGCATGGACTTGTTTTATTATATATATTATTTTAAAACAAGTGGACTGTGAGCCATTTGTTTATTGTTGAAATTTATCACCAACAAGTCACAGACACCTATTGTAAAGAATCCTGCCCAACAAATAAAACCTGACAGCAGAGATGAATGTTAACAAACAATATATGACCACCTCGATATGCAACACTTACGAATCCATATCTATTATAACTTTATTCTTATTTATATAATACTGTAAATCAATAAATTTAACTATTTATTTATTATTTTACATTATTTTTAGCTTTCTGTGTAAAATAATGGTAAAAAATCCTAAGTTTGTTATATATATTTGCAATATAACATTATTAAAAATTATATGCATTTAAACCAAGGTGGGTTACAAGGGTCAAAGGTCAGCCAGGGAATATTTGATTAGTTGATGTCAGGGTTTGGTTTGAATTTTAGCAGTGAAAGACTAGAGGGAAGGCAACTAGTCATCACCGCCCATAGCCAACTCTTGGGCTATTTTTTTTACCAACGAATAGTGGGATTGACTGTCACATTATAACACCCCCATGGGTGAAAGGGCAAGCATGTTTGGTGGAATGGGGATTCGAACTCACAACCCTCAGATTGCAAGTCAAGTGTCCTAACCACCTGGCCATGCTGGGCCATGTTGTCAGGGATCAATATCATAATAAAAAATCAAAGGTAGTTAAAAAGGTAGTTATGTGTTTTGAAGATATAGTAATACTAAGATGAAACAAATTCAAAGAGATTTGGTTCCAATGGTGAATCCCTTTTGTTGTTTTTGAACTAAAATTTTTTGTTCTTTATATTTATTCTGTGCTTTAAATATATTCACCTAGTGTGTGCAGATCTTTTGAGTTGCATAGTTAAAATCTGAATCACATTTATTTACATTATAAATTAGTTTGTTTTATGTATCAATATTAAACTACTCTTCAGTTATTCTAATAGTGTTAATTTTTAGTTACTTTTAGTGAAAGTAACAAGTTGGTCCATTACTATACATCTTTCATTTTTAACTTCCTGCCAAAAAAAAGTTTGAAAATACCTATTATTTTGTTGTTTTTCAAAATTTGTAGTGCATACTTGGAGGATTTAAACATTTTGGCAATAAAGTTAGGGAAAAAAACTACCTTTAATCTCCAGATAATAATAAAAAACTTTATTTGAGCAAATGTTTCAACATTGTCAGGGCTAATAGTACAAGAACTAGCCGTGATGAATCTGTAATGGTGAAACATTGGCTCAAATAAAAAGTTTTTTTTTATTATTATCTAGAGATTAAAGGTCATAGTTTCCTTACTATATTGCCAAAATACCTATTACACAAGAGAATCAATACTAAAATCATAAATAATATTCAACGTTAAACTGGTACACAATTAAAAACATTTTATTTAGGCCT